ATGTATGCACGACCAGAGGAGTGGGATTTTTTTTTTCTTTCTTTGTTTTGTCTCAAGCCTCCGGAGAAGTTTCTAATCTATACCACCTTGTTAAGTAAAACTTAAGGACCCACAGTTAATATACAACTGTAACAGCAATCAGATGAACTGATTCCCTCCCACATAGCACAAAATTTTCATCAACACAGCCAACAAGGCCCCTTTTACCATCTTCAGTTCTGAAGCTGACAGTGTTTTTAATTAACTTAATTATAAAGTACTTCCTCATTTCAAAAATATGAGAAGAATTTTAAAATGTGTGACTCAACAACAAGAAAATGTGCAAAGCAGCCAAGAGCCAGGAACAGGTCTAGCAAGGACAGCTCTTAGGTTCCCTGAAGCAGAAAGTGTTGGCAAGTAAGTGGTGGGGACGGGGTGCAGGGGAATCAGACGAAGGGCCCCACTGTAAAGGCCTTGGCTAGCAGGCCAGAGGTGTCAAGTGGCAGGGAAGGTCAATGTGAAGGGTGGGTGGGATGGATTAACATGGGAAGAACATTTGGAACACCACAGCACGGGGGTTGATTTGAAGGAATGGTACCCAGGACCAGGACCATGGCAATGAGAATGAAAGTGAAGGGATGAATGTGGGATGTCAAAAGAAGCCAAATCTGCCTGACTTGGAAACCAACTAAACAAAGGAAATATGGGAGGAGTGAGAGTGCATGAAAACACAGAGCTTTTAAATAGGGATGGCATGAAGAATATAGTACACTCAGCTCTCTGTATCCATGTGCTCCACATCCCTGGATTCAATCAACCATGGATCTAAAATATTTTTTCAACTGCATCTGTATTGAATATTTACAGCTTTATATGTTTGCCCTTAGTCACTAAAGAATACAATATAACTTTACACAGCACATACATTGCATTAAATGTGAGTAATCTAAGGATGATTTAAATCATATAGGAGGATGTTGTGGGTTCTATGCACATGCTACATGATTTATCCAAGGCACCTGTCGACTTCGGTATATGTGGTCATCCTAGTGCCGATCCTAGGGCATGGGTACTGAGGGCCACCAATACAAGAAGAACAGTGGTAAGGAAGTGGCATGACACCCCAGAAAGGTAATGGCACTTGGGTTCATCTAAAGTGAAGCAAGGCACGTGTCCAGGTCAAGTTTTAAAGGACTGGGGGCAAGTATGGTTGGACATGACATATAGAAAGAGCCCACTAGGTCTCTTTCCTGAGCACTTAGGGCCAGCCCCATCCAGTTGGGTAACGCCCACAATAGCTCCATAAAAATGCAGAAGAGAAGGAGGTACCTCAAGAAAGAACCATGCTAGTCCTGGCTGTTCTGCTTCCAATCCAGCTGCCTGCTAAATGCACCTGAGAAAGCAGTGGAAAAGGGCCTGGGTTCTTGGGCCCCTGTACCCACATTGGAGACACAGACAGAGTCCCTGGTTCCTGGCTTTGACCTGGCCCAGTCCAAACTTGTCATGGTCATTTGGGGATTGAAGCAGAAAATGAATATTTCTCTCTGGTTCTCCATCTCTGTCATTCTTCCAAATAAATAAATCTTAAAAAAAAAAACACATGAGTAATATTAATATTTTGCACCAATTCAGAATGGAAGACTTATAATGGAGCTTAAGTAACAAAATATAAACTCACATGCTTTACATATCTAAACTCACAGACCAATGATCTTACCTGCTGTACTTGCTCTGCCATAAAATTAAAGGGGCCAAAAATTTTAAAAATCATTGCATTATGAAAAGTAGTAAGTCCCCTGGAACACCTGAGGCATAAAGTAAGTGAGGAAAATTGTGAGACTATGAAAAACAATCCAAAATTTGGTCATGATTCAAAAACGGCCAATAGTCTGTATTAAAATTGTGGACATAAATCAGTGTATGATTCTTACATGTGTACTTGATACCGTGTTTCTTGAACTTTTTTTCTTAAAAAGCTTTTCTTTACATGAATGATGCTTCTGACATGGATGGTATTCTGAGTTACCTTTTAGAGCCACAAACCCACACCAGACACCAGGAAACCCTCAGAGGATTTATTGTTGATAGCCAGGGCCCACCAGCTATCTCTTGGAATAGAAGCGTTCAGCAGCCTCCCGGTAGAGGATGAAAATGGTATCAATGAGAAAAAGACAAAGAGTTATTTTGTTTAAGTAAAAGGTTCTATTAATCAAGAGAGAGAAAGAGAGAGGAGGTCTGAGAGACCACTCCTTGATGGGAGACAGACTGGACCACTTCCACATGGCAGGTGGCTCATGTGAGGGAAATGGCCTCCCAGAGTGTACAACACTGGGCTTTTATACATGTTAGGAATGGGGAATGTGGGAAGGCAGCAGTTCCTCAGTTCGTGCATGCTTGTGACATGTCATCATGGTGAGTGCTGATCTGCGCATGTGAAACATTTCTGGATGGGAGTGTATGCTTGACCTCGGCAAAGATAGCATTGACACTAGGGATGCTTTCTTTCTTCTGTTGTTTGTAGCCAGAAGGAGGCAGAAGGAGAGTGCCATGATTTAGTCTGCTGCTTGGTGGTCCAAGGTTACCAGGTGTTCCAGCTTGTGACAAGATTCCTTGCCATCTAATGTGCTCAGCTCCTTTAGCAGTCGCTTCTGCTTGGCCCAGCATATCAGAAGTGAGAAAAAATGTTGCTTTTCCAGCATTTTTAAGACTTTATGCTGTCAAAATCTTACCCAGTTGTGAACAAAATGTTAAGGTATTTCTAAAATAAACTGTTATAAGCTACATAATAGTAAGCAGTACTTGTAAATGATGGTGAGGGAAGAAATGTTTAATGACAGTTTAGAAAATGTTAAACTAAGTTAAATATTTTCCATGCGCATTAGCAATAGATTTACAACCATATCGCATGCTGATGGGCATCACAGGCCAAAGCTTTACCTGCTAAGCCATAACACCTGCGCCTAGGCAAAGAGTTCTTCCATTTATTTAAAAGAAAAACTCCAATTCTGAGGTCATTAAACTAGAATGACTTTGGCACTTTGCATCCCTACATGGACAAACCAAAGCCCAACTTAACCAGTGAATTAAAACTAGACACTGTTAACCATCAGAAAGTACCAACAAACCTCTAACTAGGGCCTTTCCCACCAATATAACCAATCAAAATTGTTCTTTTTGTCTTATTTCTGCAAACACTTGACGAAAGTTTACCCCCTTGGTCTTCCCTGTGGTACACTAGCCCCTTGCAGTCTTGTCCTGCCCAGACTTAGGCACTGTGGCATTTTCAAATAAACACTAGCATTCCAGCATCTAGGTTTTCCTCTTATCACACTTGACACCAAAATCATAATCAATAACAGCAAAAATGGATCCAGTGGGTTTCATTAAATACCAAAATTTTACTCTGCACAAGAGTCTGCCAAGCAGATAAAACACTACTGGTATTGTGGCACAGTAGCTGAAACCATTTCAAGCCCTGGATGCTCTGCTTCCAGTCTAGCTTCCTGCTGATACACCTGGGAAAGTAACAGAACATGACCCAAGTGTATGGGCTCCTGCCACCCATGGGGGAGACCAAGAGAAGAGTTTCTGGATCTAGGCTTCAACTTGGCTCATTCCTAGCTATTATGGACTTTTGGGGAGTGAACCAGTAGATGGAATCTCTCTTTCTCTAGGTCTGCCTTTCAAATAAACAAAAGTCTTTCTTTGAAAAAGAAGAAAAGAAAATATTGACAAGCCATATAGCCAACAAAGGACTGGGATCTAGCACACATAAAGATCAACAACAACAACAAAATCGCCCCGTATTTGGTAAAGGAAAGCATATGACTAGCTAAGAAATATTTCAGTCATCAGCAAACTGATGCATGTTGACCCTACTCCTTCCACCCATGCGTAGCCAAATTCGCCAAACTCTGAAGCTATGCCAACACCTCTCACCTCCTTTCCCCCTTTTGCCACCAGTTTTCACCTTCCTGTGTACTCTCTTACATTCTCCCACTGTGCCCAGCCCCTGGCAGGAAGCCTGGCCACCAGCTTCCCTAATTTGGTCTTTGAAGGTTCTCTCCATTCCCAAGTCAACACTCCTATCCACTCCAGGTTGCAGCCTTCATCACTGTGGGCAACCCTGGAGCAGTCAAGGTTTTCCATGCTAGCCCAGCCACTGGGAGACAAGACTTGGTGGTAGAGGGCAGCGGGGCCTGCAAGTGTTGAGAGACAGGCCCAGACACAGCTGGATAGAAGCAGCCGATTCTTTCAAATGCTCTCCTCATCACGTTATGGGAAACATCAGGCTTTCCCCAGTGACTCTCAAATCACCGAGGGAAGGCACACAGAAAGTGAGATTTTACATACCCTAGACAAAAAAAGTGTCTTTTCAGTCAGTATTCAACATGCCCCTTAATGCGAGTAAACTCACCTCTGGCTATTTCACAGCAAAATCTGGTTTGGAAAAAAAAAAAAGACAAGGAGGCAGGTCACTGCTAATTAAGAAGTAGAATAAAGTATTCAGGAGGAAGAAAAACACAACTCGGGTGTGAGTGCTTGTGTGTTATGACTCACAGGGACAGATATGACCAGAATCAAAACAGTGGTGTGGTGGGGGGAGCGGGGAGGGCGGGTGGAGACTTTCAGAATCCTTTGAAAGTCCCAGGTGGAGGCCAGGTCGGACACACATCCTGCACGAACCCTTCCTGCCAGTGGGGATATCCTGTGTTTGTCAGAAGGACCACACAGGGAAGCCCTGACCATTGTCCTTCCCGAAATCTACTCCCAGGCTGAGGCAGCCGCCCAGGCAGAGGAAGAGTGGATGCTGAAAACAGCGTTATCAGCATCCTCCACGGGTTTCCTCACCTCCTCCCCAGCCTCATTAGCCCTGAGCTCTCCAGCATCCTCCACCAGAAACCTGAGAGGGGTCAGTGCCCTGAAGCCAGCCCCCTGTGACAGCTTCCTCTGTGGGCCAAGCCCTGAGTGGGGCGGCCAGGGAGGCAAGCTGCTGCAACCGCAGCTGTGCAGAACCCGGCATGGAACCCGGGCGGGGGCCTGAGGCTGCTGCCCTCCGCCTGGGCCAGCCGGCCCTGCTGCTATGCGCTTTGGCCCTGAGGTGCACCTTCTCCTCGCCAGCTTCTCCCCCGCCTTCTCTGGTGCCCCAAGTCAGAAGCAGCTACAATTTCGGAAGGGCTTTCCTCGGTCTTGATAAATGCAATGCCTGCATCGGGACATCTATTTGCAAGAAGTTCTTTAAAGAAGAAATAAGGTCAGCATCTTGATCCAATCATTCTGAGGGGCCACATTCTGTTCCCTCCTGTGAAGCTCTTCAGGAGTTGGTTGAGGATGAGATTTACAGGGATGGGAGCTGCCACAAAGCTGTTTTGCTTATAGCAATAAATGGCTTGGCATTTGGGTGGGTTAATAGAAGGGCAAGTTGCAAAGTCAAACTCCAGCTTTGGCCCTGAATGCTAAATCTAAAAGTTCCTTTTTGCATTGAAAGCTTCAGGTTTTCTTCTGTTCTGTGAATGGGGTAGCCTGGGACCATTGAATGTATCAAGTTCATTTGTCATAGGGAGGATGAAAGAAAATTTATAGAAAGCCTACAATTGACCAACGTTTGAAACAGTCCCAGGAGTTAGTGGTTTGCAACCATGATTGAGATGGGGAAGCAAGATTAAGTGAGCCGCTCACTAATGAGTGGCAGATCTGGGAGTTCAAACCAGGACATCTTGCTCCTAAATTTCTGAGCCAGTTCTCTGCTGGGAGATGTGGCTTTGATCAGAGGAAACCAGAGTTTAGTACACTACAATGCATAATGTACTCTCATCAGACAGGAGCCACGCTCTGAAATTCAAGCATACAATGAGCTCTTATTAAAGCTCTTGGCCTAGCAGATGCTGTTATGACAACTGCTCTAACTCTGGCCATTGCCCTCCAGGACATCAAGAGGGATCTGTGTTGTAAACAATGGATGAGAGATGTGCCCCAGCTGGAGAATGAAGGATAAGTGGAAGGATGGCAGAGGGTGGAAGGATATATGAGGTAGGATCCTTGAATTCCGTACCAACCAATGGTGACCTTAGTATAGGGGGACATAACATCTTCAGTACTTGTTTCAGACTCTTGTTTGTGTACCCCTTTTCCTCTGACCCCCCAGAACTCACTTCATGCTTACTGGTGTTGATAAAACAAAAGGCACTAATCACTGATTCATAATTCTGTTACGTATTAACCAAAGATGTACTTGATTATTCCGAATGAATGAGCCAAACTAGCAAATCAAAGCCACCGATCAAAATTGCTCAGCTTCCTTTGTGAGAACACAGACATTTGAGGGAGATCGTGTGGACTTTTCCTGCTAAGATTTTTACGGAGGCATAAAAATCAGAAGAGCTGCAGCTGATGGCTCAGGTTACGGTGGGGAAGTTAAGCTGGGAAGGGGAAGGTGAGACCATGTGCTTGAGGAAGGACTCATGGAAACCAGCAGGCAGCACAGGGTTCCGGCAGGGACTGTGAAACGAACCCGCTGTCGGGAACAAAGCAGGGTAGGAAGGATGCTAGTCAGTGCAGTTATAGTCATTTTGTTGACACACTCAGTGTGAGCAGAAATGAAGATGGAGATGTTGAACATCAGTTCAAGGATTCCCAACCAGGAAAAGAGATGAAGAGGACCTTAAGACACAGGTGAAGCGGCGTTGATTCCTCAGAGAAAGGAGGCAGTGAGACTAGGGATATATTGCAAGGGCTGTTAAGAGAGGAGAAGGAGAGATCTACGCTTCAGCTGAGCAAGAGAGTTAGGCTCAACTCCTCCTGAGCCACCCACTTGCAGCAGTTTCCTCATCAGGCAGGTACTACAAAATTTCACAAAACATTTCGCCAAACAGGTTTGTGTTCCATTAGCGTTCAGGATTTTACTTCGCCTCCCTCAAAATTCATTTTCCATGCTTGTCTGAAAAAAAGGTAAAGGAAGGTAGGCAGACACAAGCAGGAAAACAGCAGGCAGGGCAGGTTCAAGTTCACAGCATTCCAAGCCACAAGGCTCAGCCTCAGCACGAAGAGACAGAGAGGGGCTGTGAAAGGGTCGGAGGTCATGGGATTGATAGTCCTCAATAGTCCTTTTCTCTATGAGAGAAATCAGCTCTTTTCATAACACAAAAGTACTAGTGCTTACTTTACACTTTTCAGGAAATACTGATTCAGGAAAGAGAAAATTAAAATCGCCTACAATTTCCCCACCAGGAGATCACCATCACCCTCGAGTAAAAATGGTTTTGCATATCCTTGCCATCTCTTTTCCAAAAATTTTTCTATCAAACATGTATACTCTTACGTGTACTCTTTTGAGAACTTTTGTTTAATGATGTATTGGCAACACCTGCCTACATGATTAAATAGTCTTTGCATTTTGCTCTTTAATGGCTTCATGGTATTCAATTGCATCAATCAACTGTATTTTATTTAACTAATCCATCATTATAAGACAGCTGGAGCTTTCTTGAACATTTGTGTGGCTAGATGTTGCACTCACTGGTCATTAATTCATTGTATGAAATGAATCCCTAGAAGTGGAATTTCTGAGTCCAAAAATTTTCATGTTTGTGTGTATGTATATAAATACTAAATCTCAAATGGCAACTTCACTTCTTATACATTCACAAATATTTACTATTATTATTTTCCCTTGTGTTTCTACTCAGTTGAACCTTTTTTTTTTTTTAGTGTTTTAGCCATTTGTGCTTTTTCTTTGCTGAATTGCCTTCAAGTTTACATCCTTTGCCTTTCTTTCTAGTGATGTTTTTGTGTTCCCCTTTTCTTGTTGATCTCCAAACATTCCTCCAGTTTTAAAAATTACCATTGTGGGAGAAAGCCCACAAACAACTCTCAGCTATTGGCCAAATTGGCCTAACCAGGCAAGGATGCACATCCTGCCCCAGACCTGCACTAAGGATTAGGCCATGCTTGAATCCATTCAACAGCAGACAACATATGCACTTCCCAGGCCGGCTGGGTACACTGAAGACATACAACTGGCAGATGAACATCACTTCTCCTTCTTTGTCTTATCCTGTCCTTGCAGGGAATGCTAAAGAGGAATCGTATACTTTCTGAACCCAACCACTGGCCTTTGAAAATTGCAATGTTTGTTGTATCAACTTCTCATCCATTCCAAGTTGATTTTTTTTCCCCTCAGGGAAAAATGGAAGAGAAGCTAGGGGAATTAGTAAGCTTGATTGACATACCCTTCCTACTCAAAATGCAGCTATATGTGAAATCCAGAGTGGTCATACCAAGTTGGCAAGGTCTGCCAGGATCTGGCTGATCGGTATTAGGTGTGTGTGAGGAGAGGGGACTCTGGAGAAGTCTCTCTGATCCATACCATTCCTAGAGGTCCCTGGACTCTTACCAATGCTGATGATTTAGCTCACATTCCTTACTTTATTCCCAGGATCTAAAACAATGCTCAGACACTTCCCAATGGGCACTTCCAAATAAGTGAATCATTAAGCTTGCTTTTGCCTTCCCCTTTCCCGTGCTTCCTGTCTGTCTTATCTCAGAAGATGATAGAGATTATGGCTTTAACTCCTGCTCTCACACTAACAGAAGGCTTGGGAGCAGCATGGCTCAGGGGGTTATGGCAAATACATCCATCTACACAGTATTCTGCACAAACCCTGGTCCACATGCATTCATCCAGGCATCATGCCTTCATTCATTTTTCCACCCAACTGTAACTCTATGCATTCTATGCCATTCAGGACTACATGTCTCTCTCCACTACTCACTTAACACCCTTCCCTCCCTCCAGAGCTATCCAACTATAAAGCATTGAGTATAAACTCATATCTAGCCTTCTACCAGATACCAGAGTTACAAAGTTGAAAGACGTCCAAGTACTCTTGAAAGAGCTTATTAAGAAGGCAGAGAAGTAAATCAGTGGTTGAACTAGAGTGTATGGGACATGCAAAATATCTAGCTTATGAGGTCACAGGATCATGTGGGAAGGAACATACCTCAACTGGGAGATGAGAGAATGATGAGAAGAGGAGGTACCTCTATGAATTTTAAAGAATCTGGAAGGGATTATTAGGTAGGTAACAAGGAAGAATAATAGCCAGCATTGTGACATAATGGGTTAATGTAATGCTTGCAATGCTGGTATCCTACATCATAGTGCTGTTTTGAGTCTGAGCTCCTCCACTTCTGATCCAGCTCCCTACTCATGCACCTAAGAAACTCAGCAGATGATGCCCAAGGTACTGGGGTCCCTATTACCCATGTAGGAAACTTAGATGGAGTTTCTAGCTCCTGGCTTCAGCCTGGCCCAGACTTGGTTTTGCAGGTATTGGGGGGAGTGAACCAGTAGATGGAATATCTCTCTCTCTCTCTCTCTCTCTCTCTCTCTCTCTCTCTCTCCCTTTCAAATCAATAAATAATTTTTTAAAGAAGAGGAAAGTGTCTCAAGAGCTGATCATATGATAGGCTCAGATGCCTGATAAGAGTTTGGCTTTTCTGGGGTGGGCATTTGAACAGTGGTTTAGCCATGGCTTGGGACATGTATATCCTATATCAGAGTACCTACACTGGAGTCCTGTCTCCATTCCCAGTTCCAGCTTCCTGCTGAGGTAAACCCTAAGAAGGAGCAAGTCGTGATCCAAGTATTGCAAGTCTGCTACCTATCAGGGAGGTTGAAATGGAGTTCCAGGCTTCTGGCTTCTGGCTTCTGGCTTTAGCCTGGTCCAGTTGGCTGTTGTGGGCATTTGGAAAGTGACCCAACAGATATAAAATCTCTCTCTCTCTCTCTCTCTCTTTCTCTCTCTCTCTCTGCCCATCTTTCGAATAAAAGCCAATTAATTTTTTAAACTAGTTTGGCCAAACCAATGATCTGATGAGACAAAAGCAAACTTGTAAGGGGAGCAGATGATAGGCTTAGAAAGAGCAGGCGATCTTCACTAAGGAACCTTGGCCTGACAGCTTTTGGAAAATGCTTGATGGTTTAAAGGTTAAGCGCAGTGCTAGGGATAAAAAATAAGAAAGAGGCAAGAAATACTTTGGGAGACATGGCTTCAATCTTGCTGTTTGGCCTGATGCAGGCATGAGAAGTATGCAAGGGAAGAGGGTATTTCGTTCCCACTGTACTCTCCATGTTGAAGGACTCAGGGGATTTGGCCTGCATGCTTCCTTCCAATCTGAGAAGCAAGGGTGATGCTTGTCTGGCCTTAGTGCAGCAAGGACATTGGCCAGTCTCTCTTCAATCTTGCCTATGATCTCAGTTCCAGAAGGAGGATTAAAATGATGCCTTTGTTTTGTGGTTTTTCCAAACTACAGGATAGTTAATGTTTTAGTGGATTAAAAAAAAAGGGGGGGGGGGTATTTTCTCATTGACTTTCTTTAGATTTACTTATTATTATTGGAAAGGCAGATTTACAGAGAGAGGGAGAGACAGAAATATCTGTATTCTGGTTCACTCCCCAAGAGCCCTCAATGGCCAGAGCTGAGCCAATCTGAAGCCAGGAGCTGGGAGCTTTTTTCAGGTCTCCTATGTGGGTGCAAGGTCCCAAGGCTTTAGGCTGTCCTCGACTGCTTTCCCAGGCCAGAAGCAGAGAGCTGGATGGGAAGTGGAGCAGCAGGGAAATGAACTGGGGCCCATATGGGATCCTGATGCATGCAAGGTGAGAATTTAGCCACTGAGCCATTGCACCAGGCCCTCTCATTGACATTTTTCTATTCATCAGTGTAGATCAATCAATGTTGTAATAGTATATACATTTTTCTCCTTCCAAGTCAGTGCTGTCATCACAGCAGAATATCCTCAGGAGGTGGGGACCAAATAAATAGATAGATAGATAGATAGATAGATAGATAGATAGATAGATATAGATAGAGCGATAGAGAGATAGATAGAAGACAATGAGCTTCTTGCATGGGACAGGAAGTCTCTCCCATGTCACTCCCACCAACCAGGAGAGCAGGAGGCCTAAGATATGCTGTCCTCTACCATTCAAGGCTGTAATTTCTCAGAAAAGTCACATTCACATTCTACCTTCAATTTCCTCATCCCAACCAAGATGGGGCAGGAGCTACAAGATAAAAAAAAAAAATCCTTAAGGACCCTGCCAACCTTAACTCCTAATAATGTCATCCATCTGTTGCCATGGGCTGATTCATCACATGGATGATAGAGGAACACAGCAGTGGCAAAAAGAGAAGACTGTAAAACTGTGGCGCCTCGAATGCCACTTCCTCCCAATCCTGTAGTGCAATTTTGGCCAAACAATGCAACTGCTGTGTCTCGATTTCCTCATCTGTCCTCACACAGTTCATAACAGTATCAGCTGCATAGACTTTTTGAAAGGATTAAATTAACACACATAAAATGCTTATAAAGTGACTGACACATGCATTTCATATACATGTGTTACCTAAAAGAACCAGTTGACAATAAGTCCTGAATTCCAGACCCTTTGGGCTGTTGGACATCCATGAGCAAGAGCTGGGAAGCCTCAAGTTCTAGTACAGTCCGCATTCCCTTGACCTCTTTGCCCTTGAACATCTTTGTGTGGCTTTCTTTGCCATTCAAACAGTAGGAAAAGCTTGTCTGTTGGAATAAAATTGTATCATGAAAGTGAGACACCAAAATACTCCAGGGCTGGAGGCTAATCAAAATGTTAATCCTTAGGAAATTCGTTATCATGAGGTCGTCCCATAATGCCTCATAAGAAGCATTTAAAGATTCTCATTTAAATGAAATGCATAACATATCTTCTATCACCTGATTTTCACTGGCAGCATGACACTCAATTATCAATAATAGTGAAGGTAAACTTTTCCTGGGTAACTTTTCATACATAAATCAAAAGGAAATCTAACATTCTTCCCTAATGGAAATGTCAGCACACAGCTGGAGGAACAACTGTGGAGAAAAGGGTCAGTGTGGAGTCTGGGAAATCAGTAGATGATAATAGGCCACTGCCTCCCTCCCTGAAAGGGATTAAGGACCCAACAGGCCATTATGTGGAATTACAGACCCCCTGGAGCCCACACAGCTTTGAATTGGGTCACCATTTAGCAGCTGCATTCACCTGAAATTTGATTGACTGATGACTGATGTCTTTGAACAAACAAGCCAATTTGATGAGGTTCCCTGTTGTTCAGTATGGAGTGACAGTGGTCTCCCCAGCACAAACCCAATAGTCTCACTCTTCAAGAACCGAGGCTGGGTCTGGGTTCCAAGGACCAGCCATTTGTCAGAGGGCAGGTGGCTTCGGGAAGCAGCAGAGTGAAGGGGGACAGATAATGGGATTTGCTGCCAAAATGCAACATTTGTACATCTGCTTGGCAACGAGTGGTCTGACCTTGAGCTAGATACTTAAGCCTCAGTTTACATACCTGAGAAGTATGGGTGGGATATTGGGAAAAGCAGAAGCTGTTGTCTTTACATGGACTGTGATTTAGAAATCCCAGCTAGTCTTTCCATGTCCTAAAGACAATGAACTCTGTTGGACCCATACTTTCCTCCCCTTTCTTGCCATCACATACATGAGGATACCTTCCTAAATTTTAGAGTGCCCCCAGTCCAAAGAGGAGAAATGGTTCGCCAAGCTATTGTCACCCCCAACAGCCCCTCTTCCCTGACGCTGGGCCTCTAGCCCCCAGGCCCATCCTACAAGAGCTGTTCTTCCACCAGGTTCAACGACTCGCTGGCTTCCCCCCTCGGGCTGCCTCCCGACCACTCACCTTCTTACCCAGCCAACTACTCAGATGATTCCAAAACCTGGCGCACTGTGGAGATCTTCCGGCTGCTCAGCACATACCAACATGAGATCTCGGACAGCAGAATTTGTGCCTCTGCCTCAGCCCCCAAAACCTGCAGCATTGAGCGCGTCCTGCGGAAAACGGGGAGGTTCCAGAAATGGTTGCAGGCCAAGCGCCTCACACCAGACCTGGTGCAGGTGAGTGTGTGGCCTGGAGAGGGCGTGGGGGTAGAGTACTGGGAAGAGGAAATACTTTCCACTTCACATCTCAGCATGATCTGTAACTTTATGATGAAACACTATCCTAAGACAGAGGCACTGTGACAAGACTGGGATCAAACAAAAAATATTTCTAAGGATCTGTCCCATTGTCATATCCTTCTTTCTCTCTCTCCTCTCAGTGACTAGTTGAGAAACAGGATGATTTTCACCAGCCAGCCCCTCCCCCGCTCCACCCTAACTCGCAACTTTCTCCTGACAGCAACCTTCACCAACCCCCAGGCTAGCAGAGTACCCTAAGTCTTTGTCTTTCTATGTCTGCATCCACAGGTTCTGTTTCTCTAGAGAACTCTTAGACACGCGGGACCTGCTTTGAAATCAGGGTTAAATCAGGTTGTTGGGTAATATGGCCATCGTCTGACATTAAGGGAAACAGAGCTTTTTGATGAAATCCTTTGGGCAGTCTGAATTCTGTGAATTTACTGGCATTGAGTGGGGCCAGAATAAACTAAGGGAAGTCATGACTTCCCCGGGCAGAACTGTGATGATAAATGCTAACTAACAGGGTATTGGGGTTGGTACAGGAGAAAGGAAGCTGGCTGCTTAGCACAAAAAGCAGAAGACAGAAGACAAATACCAAAACCCACAGAAGAACCTGCTATAATTTCCAGTGTCCCTCTTTCTGCCCTGCAGACGGACCTTCCACACAGCAGTCTGAGTTTCTGCCACAGGCCTTTTACAGGCCAGCCATAGGCAATATGAAGGCATGCAAAAGACCAATAGGACACCTTGTCTACTCTGCCTCACATACATGCTCAAAACAAATAAACACCCTCAGAAAGAGCAAGGCAATGTAGACAAGGAATTATCTGGGGACTACTTGAAGATCTCTTCATCTCTTCCTGTCCCATTCATTGTCAAGTCCCTCACCAAAGAGTACAGTTTCCCCAAGTCAAGACATCTGGCATCATGTCAAATGAAGGAGCTTCCTGCTAGAAGAGATGTACTTGAAATTGTATACTAGGTGGCTAAATTTGCTTTAGACTTGGAGCTAAGGAAGCACTCTCACTTTCCCATGCCTTCCATAACACTTGCATAACAGCACAGTGGGTATTGTCCCAAGGGGCCTGACAAGTCCAAAGCAGCCTGCTGGTTGAATCTAAATGCTGGAGTGTAAGGAAAAGATCTCCCTGGCTTAAAAACTGTGGGGTCCTGAATCTTTCACCAAGAAAATTGTGACAGAATGAGGACAAGGAGCAGGAAGAAGAGAGAACTTGCAGTTCCTGTTTACCCATTCCATGACTTTCATTAACTGGACTACATCCTGAGTATTCAAGGATGAGTCAGATGCAGGCCTCGCCCCCACGAGCATGTGGTCCAATGGGGGAGACAGACTAGAGCACAGATCACCATAAAGCAATGTGCTTCATGTTGTTAAGACCCCTACACTGGGACAAGGCAGAGACTACTGGACTCGAGTCCTTCACTCCTTGATCAAGGGACCTTGAATGTAAGCCCAGGAGTCCCCCATTCTACTTGGCATTCCTCCTGGAAAACTGGGGTGAGAGGGAAAGAGCTGGATGCTCTCAAAGATCCTGCCAGTACTGACACTTCTTAACCCAATATGATTTGGCTTCATTATTTTACAAATAGTGACCGGATGCTTACTACTTCTTGGGCACCTTGATTTTTCTTGTTTCTCAAGTAGCAGCAGATACCTGATCAATTCATCCTAATGGGTTCATAGATATAACGATGCTTTTGAAAAGGTCTGCTGCTACAGACATCAACAGCAACATTCTTTCATAAATGGAACCCTCCCCTTAATTTATGGTGCTAAAATTTGCTAGATCAATTTGGTTAGCTTGTGTCACATGCAGCTAAGTAAGCTCTCATTCTCTCTGTGTAACTAGGATCTGTTCAGAGTTCCCTGTTAAGACGCAGCCCAAAGCCTTGTCATTTTCAGTTTACTGTGGGTTTCCCTAAAACCATCTTTGCATTTCCATCAGTTCACTCCTCCTTGTGAAAACAGGAACGTACAGGCAGCCATCTTACCAATTCTAAATAAACCCCTTTCTTCTTCCAGCCACAAATTCAAGAATTTGAGGTCATTTTTAGTGCATTTTGGTACAGTCTTCTCCCTTTCCTGCCTCCCCCTCCACCCTTAGGATTCCACATCCTGCCCGAGGCGATTGGCCACATTCTTGCCTACCCTGGCCTCATCTGGACAGCACCTAAGCTTCTGTTCCGTTCTTATTGCAACATTCACCAATCAGACAGCTTTAAATGGATTTGTCTTCATCAAAAGCAATGAAGAAAAAAAAAGCACTTCACTCACTGCATAAGAGAATTGAAAATACAAATTCTAATAAAAAAAAGTCATACATGAAAACTCATAATAGCATCAGTCATAATTGCCAGAAGGTAGAAACAATCCAGTCTCCAAGCCAGTGAGTGGATAAACAAAGTGTGATCTGTCCACACCATGGACTATTATTTAGTCATTGAGAAGAATGAAGTACTGAAATAATCTGCAATATGCATCAAGCTTGAAGACACGTTCAGTGAAACAGACACACACAAAACACACGTACTGTGTGACTACATTTGCATGAAATGTTTGAAATAGGCCAATACCCATGAAAAATAGGTTTGTGGTTTCCACGAGCTGAGAGGCAAGGCAAATTGGAAGTGCCTGCTTCATGGACTCAAGGTTCCTTTTAGTGATGACGTGAAGTTGGAGCTAGTGGTAATGGCTACACCACCTGGTGAATATTCTGAAAACCATGGAGTTGCACACTTTTAAATGGTTTAAATGGTGAAATGTGTAGCCGGTGAATTTTATCGCAATCCTAAAAGGAAAAATATGCCATCGTACAGCAGCATCTCCTATCCAGGGACTCCGTTTCTCTTAGAGCCATGAGGCGGACAGCTGCTCTAATTGCTCAGTCCATGGATGCAGAGTCACTGTCCTGTCCATGATTATGTCACTGCTTCTATAGAGTGAGCCTTCCACGCCCATGGGCTCTGCAGCCAATCCCTCAACCAGCCATGGACTGCAAATATTTAGGAGAAAAACAATCAGATCTGCACTAAACATGAACAGACTGCTTTTCCTTGTTCTCCCAACAATACAATGCTAAGAGTCATTTACATAGAATTTACATTGCATTCAGCCCTGGAACTGATGTAAACATGATTTAAGGCATCCAGCAGGATATGCACAGACTATATGCAAATACTGCACCACTTTATATCAGGAACCTGAGCATGTGTGGATCTTGGCTTCCGTGGTGGTCCCAGAACCAGACCCTTATGGATAGTGGGCAATGGTACCTTTATGGATAGTGGGAGATGGTTGTATATACCCATACTCTAACCTCTTTGAACCAGCCCTGAATCCTCAGCAGTGGCTGTTTGTCCCCAGTACAGCTGCACGGCTCTGCCCTGTATTTCTGATAACCCTTCAGACACTGGGTCCTAATTTGTTAGTTGGAAATCATGATCTTTTTCCTATGCACATGGGAGTTTCAGGAGCCATCCAGAGAGCCAGTAGGGGATGGACACAAAGGAGAACTGCTTCATCTTTCCACTCACACCAAATGACCCCATGCAACTCAGCCATCCAGGCAGCCAGCTCCGGAGATTGTCTTGGCCCATGCCTTAAGTGGGATTTCCTTGATTTCCTCGATTTCCTCAAGACCCACTTTGTAGTGGAGATCGGGGCCAGAACCCTCACTGGTGCACATCTGTGTGGGAGCAGGCAGAGGTGAAGAGAGCCCCCCACTCCCCAAACTCACAGACTTTGTTCAAGGAACTGGCAAGGCACAGAAGGAGGCAGGCAATAAAAATCAAAGAACGGGGAGTGAGTTACAGGAAGGAGCAATTGGATTGCTTTTTAGTGAGGACACTGTCCCCTGAGCCAGACAGTACCTGCAACAGAGAGGGGAGGGGGAGGGTAGAAAAAGATAATCAGAAAGAGGGTGAAACAATACAGTGTGTGTGTGTGTGTGTGTGTGTGTGAGAGAGAGAGAGAGAGAGAGAGAGAGAGAGAGAGACCAATCCTAATAAAACTGACTTGTATCCTCTGAAAGTGGCATTGTTCAGATGACAGTGTCCCACTCAGCCGGCAAACAGAAGGACAACCAAGAACACCACTCAGGCCAAAAACCACAAAGCTAGCATGCCAAGCACAGAGCTGCAGGCGCCCTAAGCAGCACATGGCTAATCAGTTGAACACATAGATCCTCCGTCCTGCCCGCTTCCCCCGGCAGCCCCCTCGTTCCCCACAGGCCCTCAACTATGCCCCTGAAGTGCTTGGAATATTGTTCTAAACACAGATCGCCTTTCGTGCCAAGCCTTTTCTCCCACTAGATGGTGGTATGGAGCGTTCGAGCAGCTTTGTTTAAACAGTCTGGTGGCGATTTTACTTCCTAGGTCTCTGTTCTTTTCTTTTCATTCTTTTTTTTTTTCTTTTTAAAATTATTTTTAATAGAATAATAGAAATAAGCAAATTAACAAAATATATTTTTATTGTTGAAGCAAAATCTAAGTTTAGACGTAACTACTATGCAAATGAAATTCTCTCCTACTTTAACTCGAAAAGATTCAGGGTTGTTTACAGGATCCATGCTAAGTGTTAGGTTTGTAGCGTTGTGGGGGCAACTCGCGGCACTCTGGGACACAGACCATATCTGACTGTGACGCAAGACAGGTCATGATAAAGTGTTTTAGTGACAACAACGGAAGCTCTGTATGACATTTACAGCTGGCTTTCTGATCATAAATATTTTAATCTTGCCAAGGGGACCTAGTTAAAGGCCCTTCAAAAAAGTCGTATCCTTTAAAAAACAAAATAACATATACACATATACATGCATATATATTTATTTACTGTGTACTGCTAGCTGTGTCAGTAGCACACTTACCTAAAGTGCAAGTCCAACAGAACACTTCCTCCTCCCAGTCACCAAACTTGT